CGATGGGTAACACACTCTTTAAAAAAGGACTAGTCGTGACGAGTAAAGACGACGCTTCGGTCTAGTCCTGACTACTATTGAAGACGTTTCAGACTAGTCAAAGTCGTGTGACATCGACTGGTTTCTGATTGTTTACTGGATGAACGGGAATCAATTTTGTATTTTAGACTGTATAAACTGACGTCAGTTCATTTCAGTGTCCTAGTCCCCCGTCAGGATGCCCGTCAGGTTTCGAATACTGTCGGGTTGAGTGTTCGAATCCACCTTGCATCTTCTTTTTTTACTTCTCCTACTAGTCTGGACGGGGTCAACGGACAAAGCGGACTAGACATGACTGGATTCAAGGACACTCTGGACTAGTCCAGACGGGTTTGAAGGACATTTCTCCAAAAGGTGACTAGTCATGACGGGTGCGCAAGACGTTTCAGACTAGACTTGACGGGTGCTGTGGACACTTTGGACTAGTCATGTCGGGCGTCTTCTTTTATTTTTTGCTCACTTGGGTCATTTGTGCTACTTTCAAAACATTTTTTCATTTGTTGAGATTTGATAAATCTTCAAATAAAAAGAAAGAATTCAAAAAAAAACATAATAAATATCTTTTTTTTCTCTTTACTTGAAAAGATTAAATTATTAAGATCATGTAATATAAAGGGATGTTTAAAAAAAATTATAAATAAACGAAGTTCATCATATTGATTATAAAAAAATTGGTCGAATTGTTGTTGGTCTTAAAACATTTGAAAGAACATAAATATCTTCTAAACATCCAACCTATATAAAAGACAAAAAATAACAAACAATTTGTATTCGAGTTGATGCTTGAGCTTGTAATGAATGATGAATTTTATATATCCATTGACATGGTAAAAATGAATTGTGATCAACAAACCTTAAAATCAAAAAGTAGCTAATAACTAACTTAATGCAATAAAATCGATTTATTCATTCAAATTCGAAAAAAGCTACGTAATGATTATCTCTACAAAATACATACTTAGCAAAAGTCGAAGCAGTTGCTTGACGAACACGTATATCAGGATATATTGTTTTAATTGTTTTTGTTGTTGTTCAAGATAAGTTAATATTCAAAAATCAATATCATCTATAAATTGAGCTAGAGCAAACTATTTTATATACATACAAAAAAAAAATTATTATAATCATAAATTTCTTTTATCTACTTTAGCAAGAATACAGGAACTTGTACTATGTTGAATAGAATCTTCTAATAATTCAATTCCTATGATTGTAAATGCATGACTATTAATTAATAAAAAAAGGTAATAATGTTCGTAAAGCATTTACTGAAACATGTATAACACGTGCACTATTATCATTAAGACATATAACCTTGAACTGTCCTTGTGAATCAGTTGATACAAGCGAACATTGATTAATAAAAGAATTTGATAATGATCATAGTGTTAAAAGATGAATTGTTGTTTGAATTAATGTAACAAGTAAATTTGCATATGCACCACGTAAATGTAGATCACCGTGTTCACATAAAGATAAAAGATATGTAATATCTTAAAGAAAAGAAAAAGAAAGATACCTTGATGTTCGACAAATTTTAAAGTATTTTAAGTCATATAGAGATGAGAATTTCATTTTTCTCATTAGGAAATTTCATATCAGTTACAAAATTTTTATTTAATCAGAAATCTTCAAAGACTAATGAAAAACACCTTAGAGGATACAATTGATTTCATATCTCGAACTTCGGCTTAGAACTTTTTTGAGGTAGTTATATGATTGTATAATTGCAATCTCTGATGTATAAATGCAGGCTTTGAACTTCAATAAAGTGTTCTACTTGATATCTTTTCGAGTCTGACAATGGTCTAGTCTTTTGTTGGTTTCAAAAAAATTAAAAGTAGCAATAGGACTAGAGCTGCTGAATCAATATTCAGAAATCTCCGTTCTTGAATTTTCAGATTCCAATATATATATATGTTTCAACAATTTAATAGTGAAATTGTCATATCTATCAGATAACTTTCACTAAAACTTTGAGACTTTAACCAATTGAAGCCACGTCAACTATACTCTGCCACAATCCCCTTCACCTAAGCCCTCCTACTGTTACGACATTAGAAATAATTTTGGATTATAAAATAGATCTATTTTACTGAAATGAAACTTTACAAAAAGAAGCCTCAAACAAGCATTAAACATACTTTCAGTAGGATAATTAAATCAACCAAATTGTTTATAAATACGATAGACATATTGGTAAAGCACATTTAACACTAATACATGATTCATCATCACTTTATCGTACCATCCATATTAAGCATATATCTAATCGGAAAAAATATAATTGATTAACAAGTTTAGCAGCTCATGTTCGTTTTTCATTATCAATCATTGATGTTGAATCGAATTCATCATTCATTTCAATAAATCAACGTTGATATGTTGAATAAGCTATTGTTTTGGAAAAAAAAACAAATGAAAAAAAAATTCTTGTTTTTTTTCTCAATATTTACATGTTTTTAAGACTTCACTAACACAAGTTTTTTCTATAGATCCAATTTGGGTTGAAATTAATAATTGATCAAAATCAAATAAATCTGAATAACCAAGTAATTGATCTATTAAAATAAAAGACAATTATAATGGATTGAAATTATTATTTGAAAAAAAACTTACCAATTACATTTGCCATTAGAAAACGTGCTATAACCATAGGATAACACATTTGCTGACTAGGCCATAAGAAGTTTCTAAGAATAGTTTAGTAGTTCACTAAATATTTCAAAAGAAAATTATTTATTGTTAATATTAGGAAAAGAAAAATTCATTCTCACTCGACTTCATACTTTAACTATCACGATAGCCAGTGAACTCCTATGACTAAACCATTCGTAAGTTGCATGAAACTCTACGCTCGATTACTTTCGAGAGCAGATCGCTTCAAATGATAGACAGTTTCTCAGTTCGTATTTCGTCCAATAGTATCAGACTGCCTATTCTACATTTTCTGAAAAACATCCTCTCATGCTAGAAATTTTAACCGAAACATGGTAGAGCAATTCTTTTCTATGTTTGTATTCAGCCGTATGACATTTTTCTAATTACCTCTTTAAAAAAAATTTGTCTTAGATGACAAAGATTTTTGTTTTAATTACTTTAATTTCTTTATCATTAATCCGTCGACCAAGACTACGAAAAATAAGTTCATAATATTCTGATAAAATGGTTGAATCTTTTTCGGATGTATTACATTTGCTAATTCGGCAAATCACCACAGAACACCTAATCGAAATTAAAAAAAAATCCTTATTATAAATTTAAGTCAAATAATAAAAATAACCTTTTAAAGCATTTGGTCCAACATTAGGATTATGTTTTATAATTCGATATAATTCAACCGGAATTCTTGTTAAATCTGCTTCTTATAAATTCTATTTTATAATTCATACAAAATTATACAGAAAAAAAGAATTTCTTTTATAATACTGTAACAAATTTATTAAGATTTTCTTCAGCAGTCAATCGTACATTATAATCATTTTCGTCACATGTTGTAAATAATGTTTCCATCCTAGCTTTAATTAATTTAAAATAATTTTCATTGTTACCTCTAGATAAGAAAAACATTCTATAAGAGATACAAATAAAATGAAAAACAGAAAAAGATCCAATTATTTACTTGATTATTCATATTTTTGATGCTATTGTTGAAAGTAATTTTAAAAATTCAAGTGATTTATTTAGTTTATCCATGTTGTTTAATTTATATTCAATTCATTTATTTTAAACACCACATTATTTAATAATCATAACGAATGAATCGACTGAAAAAGCCTAACATCGATTGAATATTCAGAAACACCATTGACATTTCTATTTTTTCTATTAATATATGGCGCTAGATTACGTCTTTCTAAAACAAGACTATATAAAGTGAAACCTTTTTCATCAACCGATATTCTTATAACTAAAATATAGTTTCTACTACACGTTCAACAGGGATATGTTTTGATCTTGTAAATACTAAAAGTGAGTCTAAAACCATTATTTTGTGCTGGTGCGGGTGGGTGTGGATCAAAGTATTTCATTTATTGACATCCTCCCATCTAGAGTCACGCTCTTTGCGACATCCATCGTCATGTTACTCACCCACAGCCCACACTCACCACATAATATCTACTGACTGTGTGGGAAAAAACTTTTAGGACTCCAACAACAATGAGAACAACATGAATAAATTCTTTTTATCATATTTCGCTTTCTTTGCTTTGAATGACAATGCATTTTATTTTCATTTTGTTATCTCTTGCTTGCTTGACACACAGAAACTTCGTCAACACTCTTGAAACAGAGGAAAGATAAGAAGTCTTTCATGCAATAAACGAAACACGCTCACTCTTAAAACAAGTGGCTACAAAGATTACCAACAAAAGGAAGAAAAAAGCAACAATATATATATATATATAGAGAGAGAGAAAGTGGAATGAAATATATTTGTCTTTGTATCACTATCGTCAACCAGCTTTTACATTTTTATTCACTTATTTTCGCTTGTTAATAAAGAATACAATTATCATCGAAATGGACAAAAAGAAATCAACATCAACTGCTAGTGGATCATCTTCTCCTTCCACAACAACTAAACCAAAAAAATCATCATCAACAACAGCAGCAGCATCATTACCAACAACAACGACAAGCAGAAATGCAGTACTTCCTCAAACTGCTCGTCGGATTCTTCAAAATTTCCTTTTGGTATGGCTCGATGCCAATTTGCAAGAGTCAGATAACGATTTTAAGAATTCGTTGCAACATCTTCGAAAAATTGTGGCATCTATCACAACGTTTACGGATGCCCAACAATGTGTTAATTTCCTAAATGAAATCAAAAAAGAAAAGGTATTTATGATCGTATCAGGTTCCTTGGGTCGTCAAATAGTACCAGAAATCGAAGCATTGCCACAACTGGAAGCAATTTATGTGTTTTGTGGTAACCAATCGGTTCATGAACAATGGGCTAAAAAAATAAGCAAGGTTAAGGGTGTATACACAAAAATAGAACCAATTTGTCAAGCACTTGAAATCGATCGACAACGATGTGATCAAGCTATGATCCCGATCAGCTTTAATGGTCGTGATGCATTATTTATGTATACACAACTTTTAAAAGAAGCCCTTTTGGAAATTGAAGATGACGATGTCAAATCGATTAAAGATCTCGTAGAGTACTGTCGTCTACAAGATGATATTGATGAAGGTCAAATTAGGAAGGTCGAAAATGAATATCGTAATCATACACCAATATGGTGGTATACGGCAGAGACATTTATTTATCCAATGCTCAATCGTGGCCTTCGACAAATGGATGTCGATATTATTCTGAAGATGGGTTTCTTCATCCGTCATTTACATCAACATATTACTGAATTACATCGTCAACAACAAGGAAACATGCCAACAAATTTTCAAGTCTTCCGTGGACAAGGTTTGTCCATGGAAGATTTTGAAAAAATGAAAAAAACCAAACGAGGACTTATGTCCTTTAATAATTTTCTGTCAACAAGTCGCAACCGTGAGATATCTTTCAAAAACTTCGCACGACCAGCTACAAGCAATCCTAATTCAGTTGGCATCCTTTTCATTATGAATATTGACACGGCTATTTGCACGAAATCCTCAACACCATTTGCTGAAGTAAGCAAAGTTGGCTTCTTTCAAGACAAGGAGGAAGAAATACTATTTTCAACACATGCGATTTTTCGTATCGATCGCATCGAAAGAATTGAATACAAGAATGCTGATCGCTTATGGCAAGTTAATCTCACTCTAGTGGGTAATCAAGATGATGACTTTAACAAACTCACAGCACATCTGCGAGAAGAGTTCACTTGGGTAACAGGATGGGCTCGCTTCGGTGATATACTCATCAGACTAGGAGAGTCAGGAAAAGCAGAACATATCTGTAAGATACTCCTCGAAAAGGCATCTACTGATAAAGAGCGATCAGATTATAATCTTCAGCTTGGTATAGTGTATAATAACACAGGCGAGTACTCGAAAGCACTTTTCCATTACGAAAAAGATCGAGAGATCAAACAGAAAACACTCCCTCCGAATCATCCCGACTTGGCTTCTTCCTACAACAACATCGGTATGGTGTATGATAACATGGGCGAGTACTCAAAAGCACTTTCATCGTATGAACGATCACTTG